CGAGGGTAGGCTGCGTGCCACCCCTCACTCCTCCTCCCTTCGTCCAGCCACCGAGCCTTTTGAGACGCTGCACTTGGACGTCTGGGGCCCCTCTCCTCGCCCTGGCCCTGAGCGTGAGCGTTTCTTTTTGGTGGTCGTTGACGACTACTCCCGCTACACCACAGTGTTCCCCCTGGCGAGGAAGTCTGAGGTGACTTCTACGCTGATCAGGTGGTTGCTTACCACCCAGGACACTCGTGGTCGTCGTGTCAGCTGTCTCCACTCCGACCGCGGGGGCGAGTTTCGCTCCGGCATTCTCGCTGGATTCTGTCGCGAACAGGGCATTCGTCAGTCCTGGACGCTTCCGGAGTCCCCACAGCAGAATGGGGTTGCTGAGCGTCGCATAGGCCTGGTCATGGAGATTGCCCGCACCTCCTTGACTCACGCCCGTGCCCCCCATTTCCTGTGGCCATACGCAGTCAGGTACGCCGCGCACCAGCTGAACCTCTGGCCACGCGTCTCTCGGCCGGAGGCTTCACCGACCAGTCTTTGGACAGGGTCCCCTGGTGTCGCGTCGAGGTTTCGTGTCTGGGGGTGCTTGGCTCTTGTCCGCGACACCTCCGCGGACAAGCTCTCGCCTCGCGCCGTTCCTTGTGTCTTCCTTGGTTTCCCTGAGGACTCCTCTGACTTCACCTTTTACCACCCTCCCTCTCACCGGTTCTTTGACTCCCGTGACGTCCGTTTCGAGGAGTCCACCCCGTACTACGTCAGGTACCCCAGTCGAGGTCTCCCGGTTCCTTCCCCCCCCTCTTCCTGACAGCCGCTCCCCCGCCTGCTCCCCCGGTACAGCCTCCCCCCCCTGGTCCAGCCCCGTCTGGTGTGTCTCAGGCTAGCCCTCCCCCTTCGGTAGCCCCCCCTGTACAGCCTCCCTCCCCACAGTCTTCCTCGCCGCCTCCTGCAGGTGCTCCCTCTCGAGAGGTTGGTCCTGCGACTGTCCCTGTACAGGTCTCTGGTTCTGGGGGTGCTGGAGTTGGAGCTGAGCCGCGGGTTGCAGAGGACTCTTGTCTTCCTGGGGCTGGTACTGGTCGTACGGCGTCTGGGGGTGCTGGTGCGGAGTCTGGGGGTGCTGCGTCTGGGGGTGAGGGTGTCCCTTCGGTTTCTGGAGAGCCTGGGTCTGGAGCTGGTGTTGGTGCTGCCTCTGGGGGTGGTGTGCTTGGTGCTTCGGAGGTCGACTCTGGGGCTGCCGCTGCCCCGGACACTACTCCTTCCCCCCACCCCTACCCGACCAGGTTCCAGGCTCGTGTTCGCCGTGCTCGTGAGGAGCAGTTGGAGTTGGAGAGAGAGGAGAGAGAGTTGCAGCGGCTCGAGGAGCAGGAGCGACAGCAGCAGGAGCAGCAGCAGAGGCAGCAGCCGCTGGAGCAGCAGCAGCCGCAGCAGCCGCAGCAGCAGCAGCAGCAGCTGCTGCCGTCTCCTCCTCCTGTCTCGGGTCTTCGGACCCTTGGTCTCCCGTCTCCCTCTCCTTCCTCCTCCCCCTCTCCTCCCGTCTCTGGTCCTCCGCTTCCTCCTCCTGACCCCTCTCCCGCTGTTTTCCCTCGTTCTCAGTCTTCGTTGTCTCCTCCTCCTTCTCAGACTTGGGCCTCTCGTCGCTCCCCTCGTGCTCGTCCCTCGTCTCCTGTTCCCTTCACTGACCTTCGTACAGCCTTCCTTTGTTCTCGTCCACCTCGTCCGTCTCCGTCTGTGCTTCCGTCTCCTCCTGAGTCGGCTCTCACTGCGTCGCTCCCTACTCCTGTCACTGACTACTACCGCACGTACCGTCCTCTTCTCTCTCGTGTTCTCGCCTCGCTTGTTACTCACCCTCGTGCCTCTGTGTCCTCTGTGTCCGCTCTTACTGCCGCAGTCACTGACTTTGCCTCTACCCGCCGCCTTGACTTCGCCACCGCTCTTGTGGCTGCTCCTCCTTCCAGTCCTCTGGCCGTCGGGGGTGTGTCTGCCCTTGGCTGTGACGCCCTAGAGGACAGGCAGTTTGAGCTAGAGTTCCTGGCGGCCGCTTCCCCTCATCTCTGTGCCATGCTCCTCGCCCCTGAGGGTGACCCCGACGCCCTTGACATTCCGACTCCTCGCACTTACGCTGAGGCAGTGTCAGGGCCTTGGGCCTCTCAGTGGAGAGCTGCCATGGACGCAGAGATGGCCTCCTACAGATCCACAGGCACCTACGTCGATGAGGTTCCCCCTCCGGGGGCGAACGTAGTCGACGGCATGTGGATCTACAGGGTGAAGCGGCCACCGGGATCTCCTCCGGTCTTCAAGGCGCGCTACGTGGCTAGAGGTTTCAGTCAGCGCGAGGGAGTTGACTTCTTTCAGACCTTCGCGCCCACCCCGAAGATGACCACTCTTCGGGTGTTACTACACGTAGCAGCACAGAGAGACTACGAGTTACACTCTCTCGACTTCTCTACTGCTTTCCTTCAGGGCAGTCTTCACGAGGAGGTCTGGTTGCGTCGTCCCTCTGCCTTCACTGGCTCTTTCCCTCCTGGGACCCAGTGGAGGCTGAGGCGACCGGTTTACGGTCTTCGTCAGGCTCCTCGTGAGTGGCACGACACCCTGCGTTCTACCCTGTCTGACCTTGGGTTCCAGCCGTCTTCTGCTGACCCGTCGCTGTTCGTTCGTCGTGGCCCCACACCTTTCTTTGTTCTGGTCTACGTTGACGACCTTGTTTTCGCCACCCCTGACAGGGTTGCTTTGGCACACGTGAAGTCCGAACTGCAGAAGAGACACACCTGCACTGATCTTGGTGAGCTGCGCCACTACCTTGGCCTGCAGATCACCAGGGACAGAGCTGCTCGCACCATTACACTTTCACAGTCGCACATGGTGCAGCAGGTCCTTCAGCGGTTCGGGCTTCAGCACTCCACAGTACAGCGCACACCTCTTGCTGTTGACCACAGACTCACTGGACCCTTTCCTGACGAGCCGTTCGAGCCTAGTGGTCCCTACGCAGAGCTTGTGGGTTGCCTCATGTACCTGATGACTTGTACTCGCCCGGACCTCGCCTTCCCTCTCAGCGTTCTTGCGCGCTTTGTTGCGCCAGGGAGACACCGTCCTGTTCACTGGACAGCAGCTGTGAGGGTGGCGAAGTACCTAGCGACGACGTCAGGCGTGGGGCTAGTTCTTGGAGGGCAGCAGTCTGTCGTACTTACTGGTCACTGTGACTCCTCTTACGCTGACGACGCTGAGACTCACAGGTCTACTCAGGGGTACTGTTTCAGCCTGGGTTCTGGAGCTGTTTCCTGGCGGTCCACGCGCTCCTCTTCGGTCTCGACCTCTACAGCTGAGGCTGAGATCTACGCTGGTGCCATGGCGGCACAGGAGCTGCGTTGGTTGACCTTCTTGCTCACCGACCTTGGTGAGCGGCCGAGCTCTGCACCGACCTTGTTCACTAACAACAAGGCGTCTATTCTCCTTTGTCGAGAGCCACGACTGGAGAGCAGAGTGAAGCACATTCACGTCAGGTACTTTCTTCTGCGAGAGTTGCAGAGGCGTGGACAGGCTCGCTTTGAGTTTGTGGAGTCCGAGGCCAACACTGCAGACATCTTCACCAAGGCGCTTCCGCCTTGTGACCACCAGAGGTGCTATGTGCAGTTAGGCCTTGTTGACACTGGTTCTCGTGTTGCTTAGACTTGAGTGTACTGTTTACTTTGCTTTCTATATATCTCTGTTACTTCTTGGACTGGCCTTGTGGCCACTGTTGTTTGTGCTCAGACTGTGTGGTGACGTTGTGATCCACCCTGAGCTTTGTTTCTTGGACTGGTCTTGTGACCGTACTCGTTTGGTTCTGCTAGACACCCCTCACTTAGGCTATGGGGGTGTGTCAAATGTTGTAGCCTATAGTGAGGTTTGTCTTAGGGGGTACAAAACTTAGGGTTAGCTATATGTACCCCAACCAACATCAATGCACCATCCATTCCTCATTTCGACACATGCGCACACTATCGTATGCCCCAACTATCTATGTACAGCCTGCCTGCAACCAAAGCAAGACAGACATGGCTCACACAGGCCTACTTCCTACTGCTTCACCATCTGTCTCATGTCATCCCCATCCACCCATCCAGATTAGTGATTAGTATGCCCTTATGATATCACCTAGCCACCCGCTGCCAAGCAGATACACCACCTCACATCTATACGGCCTGCATTAGCATGTCGCATGCACCCTCCGCTCGTGCACTTGGTATCTTGCCCAACCAGCCCTGCACGTGCTTCTGTCCAACTGCAAGGCACAAGCCACACGACACGACCATTCTCCAACTCCGTGCAACATGCAAGATGAACACAACCAACATTCCATGCCCCCTTCCTCCACATGCATAGCCTTTCACACTCCTGGATACTCAGTCAACTCTCAACATTCTTCACTCCCCTGATCCCAACCCTCTCCTGCCGCTGCTGCTGCCGCTGCTGGACTGCTGCTGCCGCTGCTGCTACTACCACTGCTGCTACTGCCACTGCTGCCGCCACTGCCACTGCCACTGCTGCCACCACTGCCACTGCCACTGCTGCTTGCCACCACTGCAGCCGCCACTGTTGACGCCGCTGCTGCCGCCCAACATGCTCGCCTCCCTCACTGCTCTCTTGCTCGCCCTTGTCTTCAGTTTCCCCGCCTACCCTTCCCTTCCTTCCACTCCTGCTCCGCCTATTCCCCCCCCTCCCCTTCCCCTTCCCCGTCTGCCCTGCTGATGACCGCTTCCCCATCCATCATAAGAGATTCCAGGCAGGAAATTCCTATGCAGCCTCCCTTCATGCACACATTGGTCTCTTCACCTGCTGCTGTCCAACTGCAAGGCAAGAGTCCGACCATTCTCCAACTCTCTACAGCATGCAAGTTGAGCTGTGCACAACCACCATTCCATGCCCCACTCCTCCACACACATGCCTCCCCTCCTCAGTCTTAACTAATAAGAAGCAGTCACCTCCTCCCTAAACTCACCTCACCTCCCTGTCCATCATCACTCCCTGCCACCCTACATGCCTATCCGCCTGCGTACATCCTCGCCAAAAAGCAAACATCCTTTTGACGGACAGAGTTTTGTCAGCTTGGTCAGGGCAGTCAGCTGCTGCAGCCCATAATCGGTGACTGCTGTGCCATACAGAGCAAGTTCCTCAAGCCCTGTCAGCCTCCCCACATGCACCATGCCAGCATTGGTCACACCCTTGCACTCGGTAAGCGCCAAGGTTTTAAGAGAGGAAAGGCCTGTCAAGTGCACTAGCCCACCAGTGGTCACATTGGTCCTCCCGAGATATAGGTGCTTGAGACTAATCAAGGAGCCAATGCCTTTTAAGGCACTGTCTGACATGTCTGTAAATTGGACGTTTAGCGACTCCAGCCGTGGCAGCCTGTAGAGGTGCTTGATGCCCTCTTCACTGAACCCTGAGCTACTTTGCAAGCTAATTTTCTTCAGATGGGTCATTGTGGACACGTGGCCGAGCATGGTGTCTGAGATGTAGCTGAGATGCTTAAGGTCAAGTTGGGCCACTTGTGATGCTGACTTGATTGCCTGGAGTGAATGGGTGGAGAGGGTATTCATGACAGGGATGATTACGGTGACAAGCAAGACATACTCTGTAAAGCAGAAACTCAACACTCACCTCCCATGCTGGCTGTTGATCGCCTACACTCTCGCTGATTTTTGACTCAACATCCAATTTCATATGAGCATCCTTATGACCAGCCAGCTCCCCCTTCAGTGCAGCCACCTCCCTCTCCCTCTCCTCCAACTGCCCTCGCATCTCCCTTATCTCCGCCACTCGTATTCTTTCAGCCTCCTCCAGCTGCAATGTGGTTGACTGCTTGAGCTCAGCCAATTCCTGCCTGAGAGCTGCCAGCTCTCTCTCCCTCGCATCCATCACAGCAGCAATCGCCTCGTTTCTTTCCTCAACAGCCAACACGTGCCGCAGCTCATCCACCTCCTCCTTGTGTGCAGCCAGCTCCTCTCTCACTGCTGCCAGCACAGCCTCTTGAACCGCGTCGATCAGTGTCCTCATCGCCCTCTCAACAGCCATAGCAACCAGTCACTCCCCTGAACGACAAGAACAGTGGAGGGTGAAAGTAGAGACAAGCACAGATTTGCTGAAAGAGTGAACCGGAAGCACAAGAACAAAACTGATGAGGGAGAGAAGGCTGGCACACAGAGGGCTGGCACACAGAGGGCTGGTGCACAGAGGGCTGGCACACAGAGGGCTGGCACACATTTGAGCCAGAGTTGCAAAAAACGCTAGAGACCCTTTGCGTTTAGCGGATATACGCTGGCGTTTACACACTAAACGCTAAACACCAGCAAATACGCTAAACGCTGGCAAATATTTTTTTGGGGCAGCCCGACCTAAAAAATTGTGGAATAACACCCTAGATTCCCCCCTATAATAGCCCTGGCGGTAGGAGAGTATTATGTAGTAATGTGTCTAGGAGTTGCAATCTTTTTATGGGGAAAAAATATTACCTCTGAAACATAACACCCTAGATTCCCCCCTGTAATAGCCCTGGCGGTTCTTTTTGCCCTGCCCGGGGAAGTTTTTTCCCTGCCCGAAAAAGCGTATGTTCAAATCGCCCCCTAAGCGGATAGCGTATATACGCTAGCGTATATACGATAAGCGTATATACGCTATAAGCGTATTTTGCAACTTAGATTTGAGCTGAACGAGCAAAGCAGGAAAAGTGACCTATGTACAGTAGGTAAGAGAGAACACGTGCATGGAAAAGACCGTTTATGAGAACAAGCTAGGCCTCTCACAGAACAGGTCAGTCGGAGGCTAAGACAGTCACAAGCTATGTCTCTCACAGGCTAGGTCAATCACATGCTATGTCAATAACAAGGTGGGTCAGACAAACACAAGTTTGGTCAGTCAAAGACTAGGTCACTCACAGGCTAAAACACTCACAGGCTAAGACTCTAATAGGATAAGACACTTACAAGATAAGACACTCACAAGATAAGACACTCACAAGATAAGACACTCACAGGATAAGACTCACACTAAGACACTCAGCGTAAGAAACTTACAGAATACTAAGACACTTACAGGCCAAGACACTCATAGGCTACTAAGACACTCGCAGGATACCGAGACACTCACAAAAGACAAGACACCCATGGCGAACCTCGAGCAGGTTGATGTTCCCATGAAAATGACAAAGAGATCAGCGTGGGATGTTCCTGGCGAGACGAGTATTACTTGCCTTGCTGCGAGTAATTTCTTACTCGACGAGTTCATTGTAGGTCCTTCTCACCTTGGTACCGCCAAGGAATGGGCCTTACGTTGTTTCGACCATATCACCTAGCAATCAGCTTTAGGATGTTTCAACCTTCTAACAATCGGCTTTAGGTTGTGTCAACCTTAGCAGTACCTAACACTCAGCTTTAAGTTGTTTCTGCTATCTTAGCTTGCCAAGCGATTCATTCCAGCTCGTACCAATATTTGACAATAGAAGCGTAATGTTCTTTCTCTCTGGCGTTTAAACCACCAGCAAAATCGACCTACATACGTACCTTTCATGTGACTGAGAAGCCACATTGCCAGACACATGTACACATGTCTAGCCTCAAGGTCATTCACAAGCTAGTAGGGCAGACAGGTTCGGAAAGTCACAGCAAGATCAGTCACAGGCTGGGTCACTCACCGCCTAGGTTGGTCACAAGCCAAGGTGAGTCACAGGGTAGGTCGGCCAGAGCCTGCGTACGTGACAGCGTGAGTGTCTGAGCAAGGGTGACAAAACACAGAACGGGAAGGGGTCGGAGAAATAATGAGCGCCTAAGTCAAAGCCCAGGTCAATCCGAGCCTAGGTCAATGAGAGCTAGGTCAATCAGAGCCTAGGTCAATCAGAGCCTAGGTCAATCAGAGCCTAGGTCAATCAGAGCCTAGGTCAATCAGAGCCTAGGTCAATCAGAGCCTAGGTCAATCAGAGCCTAGGTCAATCAGAGCCTAGGTCAATCAGAGCCTAGGTCGATCAAAGCAGAGCATAGGTCAATCAGAGCCTAGGTCAATCAGAGCCTAGGTCAATCAGAGCCTAGGTCAATCAGAGCCTAGGTCAATCAGAGTCTAGGTCAATTCGAGCCTAGGTACATCAGAGCCTTCAATCCGGGCATAGGTCTATCAGAGACTAGGTCAATAAAGAGCCTAGGTCGGTCAGAGTTGGTTTGGGAATTCTCAAAGCCAACCTACAGAGAAATAGCATAGGCCAGTCAGAGCCTAGATCATTGCAAGCATGGTGAATGAGCCTAAGCGAAAAATAGCAGCACGGGAAGGGCGGAGGCTAGCAATGCGGTTGGTCACAAGCTGATGTTGGTGACAGGCTTGGACGGTCATTTCCTGGGTGAGTGACATCGTGACTCCTCAATGAACCAGGGCGAGGACACACAGCACGGAAAGGGGCCAGCATGCGTCAGGAGGCATTGCTAGTTTCTCGGCGGTGCAATATAAGGGACTCGTGTAACCTAAAGTCGGCCTGCTCTGACGAAAGTGCGATCACCATGTGAGCCTCAGGCTTTGCAAGGCTTGCGATGCGGACGGAAACGATTGGGAGGATTACCTCAACTAAGGGTTACTTCGACAGTCGTGTTTCAGCGGCTCCCGAAATGACTCAGCAACGGCGCGGGTAAGTCGATCTGCAAAGCGTGCTGCGTGATGGCGAGGCTTGGCGATTTCGCGTTGCGTGGCAGGGAGATGAGCGGTGCAGGGACAGCGATGAAGAGCACACTATGGGCGGAAGATAGTACGAGTGGCAACGAGGGAACGGTGCCGCCGTTTTGTACTGATTTCGTAGAGGCGATTCGAGTTTCTTATGGAAAGATAACGCTCTTATGGAATATTCCATGCCTAAAATTCGTCACAACTCACGACACACCAGATGACACACAGTTCGAGTGGGAGGAATATTTGTTCGCCAAACAGTAAGTTGCACCAAGTGCAGGGCTGTTCCCTGTTCGCCCACGCACATAATTATCAAGTTACGAATTTGAGGCGAGTCCAAATTCAAAAGCCAGTGCACCTGTTCCTGCGTGTACACACTCGAATTCGCATTACAGAAACATCACCTTTCTCGTTCACGTGTCAACATTTTCTCGGTACCTGTAACCCTCTGATAGCACCGTCGTACACTCTTCGTTGAAATAGGGGACTTTAGTAACCGAACATCAACAAGCACCCAGCACTTTGTCACAGAAGCACCAAGTAGCCTAGGCCTAGCCTAAAGCGTTTATTTCCGAACCCGCGTAGCATTAGTACTGGTCATCTGGCTAGATTCTGCCTCCTCTCTCCTCACGCTACCGTATCTTATCGTCTTTTCACTCCTGGCTCTCGTTCCAAAACAAAAATCAAAACCATCGCATTCACTCGAGTGTGTTTCAAATTTCCGCGATTCGGATCGTTTGTCGTGTCTGGCGCTGTTTGCGGAGCTCAGATCCGTGCCTGCTAGTCGCTGAGCGCCTCGCTTCGGCCTGAGAAACCCTAGATACAGGTAAGGCTGGCTGGCCCTGTTATATCATTCATTTCCGCCTTGCACACGAGCTTTACAATTCCCTCCTTTCGCCGATGCTTTGGAGTCATTTGATGCTCCTTGTGTCTCTCATCCTCGTTCCTACTATGCTTCCTTACCGTCCTTTCCACGTTCCCAGAGCCTAGCGCAAAAAGGGCAATCAGATATTTCACTTGCCAATACATTGTTGATAGTGTGACGTGAAGCGTGACCTGCTAATGTTGCAAACCCCATCACCGTCACCACGCTCCCCTGTTCTTTTTTGGTTTCAATTCCCACCATCACATCCACGCAGTTTCTTTATCATGTGCTTTAGCTAGCTTGCATTTCCTTTCCTGTACCCAACCCCTTTCCAAATAGAGGTCGCACATCAGTTCTGATTACACAGGTCGGATGTAGTCACGAGCAGGTGGATGTCGTATTAATTTCATTGTTCCACTAACGAGGTGGAGCGCGTGTTGCTCGCATGAGTACTTTCTCCTCTCCGCCACCTCGTTACTACTCTCCTTCTGGGGCGTCTGCATCTTGCTCGGGACGAGGCGTGCGGATCGGCAATTTAGCCCACCGATTTCCGCGGATTGGCTATGTTGACCGTCGATTGGCGTAGTTCGGCGCACTCCGACCGTCTATCCGTGCGGATCGGTGACAGTATTCCGATGATTCACGCGGATTGTCGTTTTTTACTGCTGATCTGCCGATCTGCGGATTCATGCGACTGACCTAGCATGCGACTGACCTAGCATGTTACTGACCTGTCATGGGACTGACCTATCATGTGACTGACCTATCATGTGACTGACCTAGCATGTGATTGAACTAGCATGTGACTGAACTAGCATGGGACTGACCTAGCGTACGACTGACCTACCCTTTGAGGAACTACGAAAATTAGTTATGAGTAAAGCTTGAAATTTTTTTATTTACGAATGGCGCACTAGTCTCGACTCGTCTCGTTTTTGAAACGAGTCGGCTGAGAATGGGTCGAGGAGTATTACTCGACTCGGCCTTCGCTCATTCTTGCCACCAGCCCCCTCTGTGTGCCTCTCCCACCTGGTCATTTGTCTCACTTGTTCATCATCTCTGGTTCCTTTCTCGTTTCGTTTGTTGTGCTTCTTTTCACTCTTTTCTCGTTTCGTTTGTTGTGCTTCTTTTCACTCTTTTCTCGTTTCGTTTGTTGTGCTTCTTTTCACTCTTTCAACGAATCTCTGTCTGTCTTTGCTGTCTCCGCCTACTGTGCCTGGCCTGCATCCCTTGTCAATTACACCCTATGCAGTCCCCATCTCGCCACCCTTCACCGACTGCATTTGTTTCTGCGTTGCTGCAAATTTGCCTTTCCTTTTCAGCAGTTTCTGTTTTCATCGTGTCACAAAGTCTCATTCTGTCTCTGCTCCTTGTCTGCTCTCTTTCTCCCATCTCTGCCTCATCCCTCAAGCCCATGTAATTGGTCTTGTTCGTGTGCTGATCACGCCCCATCTCCCTCTGTTCTTTTTACCTTTCTCATTTCTCATGACGCTCAACCCTGCACTACCCGGGCTGCACGTGTCTGCCTTCAACAATCTGCAGTGAATAGTATAGTTGAACGCAGAGGGACCAGGCATTGATGGAGGGTAGTTTGAGGGGAGGGAGTGAGTGGACGATATGGCTGCTGAGAGAGCGTTGGGGCCACTTATTGACGTGGTCAAAGAGGCGGTGTTGACAGCAGTGAGAGAGGAGCTGACTGCACACATGTTGCTTGTTATGAGAGACAGGAATGAGGCGGCTGATGCTGTGGGGGATTTGGCGGCAGTTAAAGGGGAGTTGGCGGCAGTCAAGAGGGATCTGGCAGAAGCCAATGTGGCGTTGGCTGAACACGGTAACTCGTTGGCAGGGAACACAGAGGATTTGGCAGCAGTCAAGGGGGAGTTGGCAGCACTGAGGGGGGAGGTCGCTGAGAAGACCAGCCGTCTGCTCGAGCTTGAAGCTGCCCTGGAGGAAGCTTTGATCGCCCTTGTGCGAGGCGATTGGGGAAGCACACGAGCGTTGGAGGTAAGTTGTACTTTGCTGGATTCTTTTTTTCTGGTTGTTTTGTGCTATAACGTGGTGCTTAGCATGGCATCATATGCTGCACTGTTGCACTTTGTTTGATCAATGGTCTTGATCAATGAAGCTCGTACCTTCTCTTGCTGCGGACTCCCTCCAGGCCGTGTCGTCGGCATTCGGTGGGGAGACCAAACGACTTATGATCCTGGATTTGACAGGTCTCTCGAACCTGTCAGACACGGCCCTTCGCGCTGTGTCCACAATGACCCACCTGAAAAAACTATGGTTAAATAGGTCCTCAGGTTTCAGTGCAGAGGGTGTTAAGCACCTCTACAAGCTGCCAAAGCTGGAGGCGCTAGACCTCAGAAAAACGTCCGTGTCTGATGGTGCATTGGAAGGCATAGGTGGAATGAGTAGCCTTGAGTGGCTAGTTCTCGACAGCGCCAATGTGACTGATGCTGGGCTACTGCACCTCACTGGTCTTTCCTCTCTCAAGCTCCTTTCAATCTTTGATTGTAAGGGCGTCACGTCTGCTGCTATGCAGCATGTGGGGAGGCTGACAAGCCTTGACCGATTGTGGGTGGATGGGACTGAAGTGAAGGATGATGGGCTGCTGCATTTGACTTCGCTGACCAAGCTGAAAATTCTCTCTCTAGGAGAAGGGATTACTGATGCTGGCATGGAGCACATCGGGCAGCTGACTAGTCTGGAAGGCTTTCAGTTGTGGGGGAGTAAAGTTTGTCATGAAATTGCGGTGAAGTGCTTGCAGCACCTGCCACACTTGAAGAAATTTAAGTCAAACATTGACGGTTTGCAGGCTCTTGTGAAGGCCTCTCTTCCTCAAGTGACTGTGGGGGTTCTATCTTGACCTTGGCAATGTGATTGCCACTTGCTTTCTCAATCTGACTCATGGCCTCACTGATGTTGGCCCTTCCATTCGGGCCGAGATTATCCTCTCTTGAGCGTCAAAATTTATTACCTAGGCAGTGATAGCATTGTGTGCTTGTATTGTAGCATTGTAATGGCATGCTTGTACAGCTCTTGATAAGACAATTCCCTGTCCTGCCCTGCCACCTCCCTTCCTGACCCCGCTGCACTGCCTCCCTTCCTAGCCTAGCCCCTCTACCTCCCTCCTTTGTCACCAGCCGTAGCTCCTGATGTCAAGCATTCGTTGCCTAATAAGACTTCAGATGTTGCTAGATTTCACAATGCTCTGCTCTTGCCTTGCCTCACTGAACAATCAAGCCACGCAAGCTGCCCAGAGCTGTTTCCCATGCTACACAGCGCACATAGATTGGCCTCAGGCAGCAATGATCTACTCTGCAGCCCCGTGAATTCCAGCTGCAGTGGTGGCGGATGGTGGCAGGAAGGGAGTAAGGGAACAAGAGACAACGATCCGGGAAAGGCAGGTGAGGTATTGAGTTGACGGTGAGTTGAGGGGAGAGTACAATTGTCCTCCCTAATCTCGTCATTCCTTTCATCCTCCTTTCCCCATACCCAATACCTCGTTTGCACACCCTCTGTTCCCCATTGCCTCCCTGCCGTGCTCCTCCCGTTCCCATCCCCCTTCTCTTCTCCCCACCCATAATCTGGCACTCTTCATTTGCTTTGCCTCTCTATTCATGTCGTCCCACTGCCACTTCGCTTTTCAATCTCCCTCTGCCTTGTCTTCCGCAAGCCTTTTCTCCCTATGTCTCTCACATCCCCCCATCACTACTTTCCCTTCCTTCAGCTCCTCATGGTGGTGTGGTGCACACCGGCAATTGTCATGTGGAGGGGCATTGCCAAAGATGTGCGAGTTATTCTTCTTGGTGAATTCAGTGTGAGTGAATGGACTAGGTGGGGTAGGTAGGTCATGCAGGAGAATTGTGTGGATTGGGGAAGGGAAGGGGAGGGGAGGGGGAGGGGATGGAAGGGGGGTGTTGGGAAGTGGGAGAGGGGATTGGGTTTTGCGGGGCAATGAAGAGGAAACGTATGGCTGTGCTATTAATGTGCTGTACTGATCACGCTTATTTAATGAAGGACCATTTGAGTGGGCCGAGTGCCTTAACAGTTTTCCCTTTATGGCGCGGTCTGAGGTGATTCTGGTGGAGAGGGTGAGTTGGATTGGATGTGATCGTGCTGGGTCGCATGGGGAGAACTAGAAAGGCTGGAGCGGCTAAATAATCAAAAGCTGATTACGTGTTTGAAGGTAGCTTGTGAGGGAAAATATGTTTTTGTGACCGAGCTGACCAGGTAGTCAGTCGTGCTTTTTGCAAGAAGCCATTGTATGGGATACCTTACCACGGATATATAACCCCATATGGCATCATAGGGTTCACCCATTCCTTGTGACATGACATGCGTCACGTCTGATGGTAGTGTGTGGAGAGAGGTGATGCTGGTGGCACGGGCACAATGTGTTCGACTAGAGTGGTAATAATCAGCACTGCAAATTCTAAGAAGTATGGAGGGTGGTGGGATTATTTTACCTCACAATTAGATGCACATACTTTATCTGTGATCATCATGCGCAAGATAATCATGTGGCTGTGCCCTGCACACCTCATCCCACACCTCATCCCACTTTATCCATACCTCATCTCATACCTCATTGCATATTACACATCCCACAGCATTGTCGCTACTGGATCACTTTCGCTTCCCTCAACCCCTTCCCTCTCGTATGTGCCCCTCACTAATTCCATGCACTACAGGTGCGTTCCACACCGCAGCAGAAGATGAGTCAATGGTAACCAGCCACGGGGCAGGAGCATGTGGCAGGCAGGAGCAGGTGGCAGGAGCAGGTGGCAGTGGGGCTGACTGATGGTGCTGCAGCCGGAGGAGAAAGGTGTGTGAGATGAGCAAGTGGGAGATGTTTGAGGCGTCGCTGTCAGTGCGCTACTTAGAGTCGTCCCTAGACGCACTGGGCTGGATCGCGTACCGTGGTAGTATGCAAGCCTGGGTGTGGCAGAGGGCGCCGTGCGCCTCGTGAGTCGTGGCAAACTGTGGGTGAAGCTCGCCATTGAGCTCGCAGTCGCGGGCAACAAAGATGCCAAGGTGTAGGATCTGATGTATGCCGTGCTCGTGGAGGGTGGGCAGCTGTTCTTTACCACCACGAACAGCAACAGAAAGGTGCTTGCTGCTGCGTCTGCCACCATCGAGTTCTGCGCAAGTGGCGTTGGACAAGCAGGCGGCACACGCCTGGAAGGAACTGGAACCTTCCTTCCAGGCGTGTAGATGCAGATGCAGAAGATGGAGGAGGAGGGGCTCGGGGAGGAGAGGGGGGGGGGGCGTAGAGAGAGTGTAGAAGTGCTCATGGCAGTGTGAAAGGGATGCTCTGGGGGAGGTACGCAGGCTTGTTTCACTCCAGCCGAAAGCTCCAGTACTGCTTCACACGACTACAAGCCGAGTGGTGCTCTCGCGGCCTCTGCTGCTACTGACAAGGGCACGCCGACTGGCAGGGGCGGCAGGGTGTGATCTATCCGTCAAAAGGCGAATTGGAGGAGTGTCAGTGGCAGCAGCGAGAGTGGGGAGGCGGGCGGCAAGTGGAGGGGGGTGCGGTGCGCGAGGAGTGGAGCGGAGGGAGGCGGGCTGGAGGGAGACATGAGAGGGCAGACCGAGGAAGGAGAAGCTGTGGATGTGAGATTGTGGCAGTGTGGGGTTAGATGCAGGTTGCTATTTGCATGCTGCTCATTTGCGGCTCTTGGGCTCCATGTGAAGAACTAAGAACTGCAGACTGATGCCCTGTCTGAAGGTAGAGTGTATTTGACCAACCAGCATGAGGTTGCTTGTTTGTTCACATTTTCACCCCTCCACCACTGCTGTGCGCAAGTTACAATGTCGTCTTAAGCTTGTCTTCATGCGACTGACTTGCACTGCAGGGTCACATCTCTCGCTCTAGCAGCATACCGGTATGGAATTGCTTCGCTCCAGTGTTGCCACATCTATCCATCCATCTATATATGCTTATTCTTAACTCGCTTTCCAAACATCCATCCCCTCCCCGCATTGCTGAAAACACCTATGTTGAGAAAGACGCACGGAGGACGCTGCGTCCTGCGTCTGGACGCAGCGTCTGGACGCTAGGACGCAGGACGCGCGTCCAGACGCAAGACGCACGTCGAATTTTTTTCCGGGCTGCCCGATTTTTTTTTCCCGATTGCGAAATCTACATTCGTGATTTCGACGCGACTCTCGAAATCGCGAAATTTCGGCCTCCCCTTGCCCAAATCGCCATTGAAAACGAGCTAGGTGAGATATAAATATGTGACGAGAAGCTAGGGGTGAGCTGAGCTTGCGCTAGAGCTTGCACAGAATGTCGCGCAGCTCAAAATTTACCCCCACGACATTTGTCGGGTGGGTCAAATCCCCGCAACAATGAGATCTGGCGAAATTGACTCAAATTTGAACAAAAACCGCATTTCACCGCACTGAATCTAGAATTTCCAACCAGACTATCAATTCCCAACCCAGGTCGGTCAGATCTGGCCGCATTTGTTGGCCTGAGATACAGTCGACAGGGTAATCAACTGGTTTTTGAGAATTCTGGTTTTTGAGAATTCTCAAAAACCAACCAGTCTATCAATTCCCAACCCAGGTCGATCAGATCTGGCCGCATTTGTTGGCCTGAGATATAGTCGACAGCGTAATCAAGTCTTAGGGTTTTCTCGACTAGCTTATAAGTAGAGCTGATGAAGCTAATTGTCGCAAGGGAGATAGGCGGGCCAGAACAGCCCGACCCGCCCCCGTGCTCATCCAGGGCCTATACAAATTTTCTGCCTGCCCGGGGTTTTTTTTGCCCTGCCCGGGCTTGCGTCTTTTGGTGCGTCTTTCTGGTCCTGGTGCTGCGTCCTGCGTCTGGACGCATGCGTCCAGGACGCAGGACGCGTCTTTCGGAACATAGGAAAACACTTCCCTTTTTCAATACCCGACATCCCCCGCCACCACCCCATGCAGTTCTTCCAACGCTCTTGCTTGTTCTCTTCCCACCATCACCTTGATCCCCTCCTATTCAAGCATTGCAGCAGATCCATAGCCTTCGCACCTGCAGTCAACACTTTTCCCTTCTTTCGCCATCTCCTGCGTCAGGACTGCCTGGTAACACCCAACTCCTCCTCCATCCCCCACTCCCCCTCCTCTCCCTTCTCACATCTCTCTGCTTCCTTTCCTCCTCGCCCACCAACCCAACCCTCGCCCCCATCGTTTCTTCTCTTCTCCCTCTTCTCCTTGGTGGTTGATGGCACCGCAATCCTAACCCTACCTTCCATTTCCCTGCCCCACCTCCTCCCTTCTCCCAACCCCCCCCCCCCGACCCCCCCCCCCGCCCCTCCTCCCCTCCTCCCCCTCCCATCCCTTCTTCCCCCAAATTCCCTTACCGTATCTCCCTTCTAGAACTCGCGTCAGTATTATGGCATGGTGTGAAGGGAAGAGAGGCTGACAGGGAGGTGATGCTTGGAGCATGGGCAGAGCTAGTATGGCTGGACTGGGGTTTGTCCGCACTTCAAACAACTCATGGTGGAAACTTCTGAGATGTCGAGCCATATCAGCAGCCACGTCAGTGTGCTCTAGGCAGCTGTGCAAGCACACATCATCCCATACCCATATCTCACGCAGCCCACTGCTTATTTCATCCCTGCCCTGCCCTTTACCCATTCCTGCCCTTCTCTTGTGCCCTTCACTATGTGCAGACTTTGTATTCAAGTACACCAGGGCAGCAGTGGTGGCAACACACTTGCCTTGGGGAAGAGTTGGACGAGCCGTTCGGATCACTGCAATGCATACTGAGGAAGTTTCAAGCGAGAAAGACTTCAGCTCCTACATTTCTCTTGAAATCAGTCCTTCCAGATTCAGGAGTTTCTTTTCACAGCAGCGCTTCTTCCGTAGCAGGTGCTCCTCAAGAGGTGGTGAGAGAAGTGCCAAGGGGCAATATGTGAAGAGGGAATACGCAATTCTCCTTAGGGCACTCCAAGCAGGGTGGTTGGGTTGAAGCTTAGGTGCACACCAGCATGCATCAGAGCTGCCCTTTTCCCTCCCATGCACTCATGTTACCACTGCTTCCTTCGCCACCTCTGCCCTTCCCAATGCCAACCATCCAGCCAGCAGAATGCCCTCGGAGCATGTCCTTCCGTCTGCTAGCAAGCCCCTGCCACTCGAGTATGTAGATCACATTGGATCAATACTATGATTAGGCAACCTTTTTTAGTGCTCAAACAAACACGATATAACCTTTTTTTCTTTGTCTGGAACTACAAACTTGACAGGACGTGATCTACTGTACATCTCCAAAGCAATTGGATTTCGAAACAGTGTCTTACAAGGTCTGTGCAGTCATACAACCTACGCCTTGTCTTTCTGGTTTCCCACTCATGGAAGATTTGTACAGGCTGGACAGGCATGGTGGTGTAAACATGTTCTCCTCATGCACCTCGTATCTTGCCCAAACAGCCCTGCAACTGCTTCTGTCCACCTGCAACGTTCAAGGCATCAGGTCCACACGACCATTCTCCAACTCCATCCAGCATGCACGATCAGCTGAGCAAGACCACCATTCCATGTCCCACTCCAACAGATGGATAGCCTTTTCACACTCCTTCATACTAAGTCAACTCTCCCCATTCTTCACACTCATAATCCTAATCCTCTCCCGCCGCTGCTGCTGCTCCTGCCACGGCAGCTGCCACCGATGCCACTGCTGCTGCCACTGCTGCTGCGCCCACCACGCTCACCTCCCTAACTGCTCTCTTGCTCGCCCTTGTTCCCAGCTTCCCGCCTCTCCACCCATTCCCTTCCTGCTCCGCCTCCCATCCCATTCCCCTCCTGCTCCACCTCGCCTGCCCTAATCCCTTCCCATTCCCAGTCCGCCCTGCTTCTAACCGCTTCCCTGCCTTCAAATGCCAGACAGCATTTCCTATGCATCTCCCCTCATACACCTGAGGATTCTTGCCCAACCATCTCTGCACCTACTTCTGCCCAACTGCAATGCACGAGATCTAGAAGCTTCCAAGTGAATTGCAATTGCAAGACGAAAGATCTGCAGTTGCAGTATGCCAGTTCACCAGAGCCACCACCCTACATACATCAATACTCCGTATTCATGCCTTCACTCATTCTTCACACCCCTTGCCTCCATGCCTCTCCTCAGTAAACAGTCATATCAAACTCTTCCCTCACCTCACCTCCCTTTCCATCATCATTCCCTGCCACCCTACCAACCTATCCGCCTGCGTGCATCATCTTTCCCGAGTTCACCCCCTTCTGGCGGCAAGAGAACTCTCAGCTTGGTCAGGGCAGTCAGTTGGCGCAGCCCATCATTCGTGACAGGCATGCCGATCAACCAAAGAACCTCAAGCCCTGTCAGCCTCCCCACGTGCACCATGCCGGCATTCGTCACACTCATGCATTCAGAAAGCTGCAGCACTGTGAGAGAGGGCAGAGCTGTCAAGTGCAGCAGGCCAGCGTCGGTCACCTTGGACTGATGGAGAAAAAGCTTCTTAAGACTGGTCAAGGACCCGATCCCTTCGAGGGCAATGTCCGAGATTTCTGTGTATTGGAGGCTCAGCATCTGCAGCCGTGGCAGCCTGTAGAGGTGCTTGATGCCCTCTGCACTGAAGCCAGCGCTAAATTCCAAGTCCAATCTTGTCAGACGCGTCATTGTGGACACGTGGGCGAGCATGGCGTCTGAGACGCATTGGAGGCACGATAGACTCAAATCGTTCTCTCCTGATTGTGACTTGAGTTGCTGAAGGTGATGGGTGAAGAGGGAATGAACGGCAAGAGAATGAATGATCATTGAGATAACAGCGCACAATGCACGCCCTCTCAACCATGCATGCCCTGTGAACTGGTTCATGCAACACCCACCTCCCATGCAGTCTTCTGATGGCCTTCACTCTGCCTGATTTGCAAGTCAACGTCCACCTTCAAGCGGGCATTCTTGTGTGCGTCCAACTCTTTCTTCACTGCTGCCAGCTTCCTCTCCCTCTCCTCCACCTGCCCTCTCATCTCCCTTATCTCCGCCACTCGTTTTCTCTCAGCCTCTTCCAGCCGCAATGCAGTTGACTGATTGTGCTCAGCCAACTCCCCCTTCACTGCATTCAACTCCCCCTTGACTGCATTCACCTCCCCCGTCACTGCACTCACCCCCCGCTTCACTGCATTTACCTCCCCCTTGACTGCATTCACCCCTCCCCTCATTGCATTGACCTCCCCCTTCACTGCACCCACCTTCCCCTTCACTGCATTTACCTCCCCCTTCATTGCAATCACCTCCCCTTTAATTGCAGCCAACTTCCCCGTCACTGCAGTCAGATTCCCGTTCACTACTGCCAACTCTGCATTGATTCGAATCAGATCCCCCTTCGCTGCCGCAATCTCTCTCCCCTTCTCCTCCACCACAGCAGCAGTCGCCACACTCCTCTCTTCCACAACACCCAGTGCACGCCTCAACTCATTTTCCAAATCCCGGTTTCTCTCATCCAGCATCGCTACTCGCTCCTTCTGTCGAGCCACCTCCTCCCTGACCACTACCAGCTCCCCCCTCAATGCTGCCAACTCCCCTCTCACTAATCCGAGCAGTCCATTCACTGTCTCATTGACCACACTTGACTCCCTCTCTGCAGCCATAACTGCAGCTTGAATTCAGCCTCCTCCCTCCCCACTGCAGAATGGTCAACGTTGGTTGGTCGCACTCTGGCCTGTCGAAAGCGGTTGGTGGAAGTGAATACATGGAGGTACACAAACAGTGACACACACATGAAAAGCGGGGAGAGGGGTTGCAGGCCACATAAAACAAGCTGAAGCGGGTAGCGGCGAGACTGTTTCCACTCGCCAATTGTTCACGCTAGAGCAAGCACAGGTGAGCAGAGCACTCGTGGAATTAGCGAGTCAATGTGGTCGAGAGGTTGGTAGTAAGGAGAGTGGATGGGATTGCTCTGGGGTGATTGGGAGGGAGGGTCTGAACTAGCTACTGTTCAGATACTGTAACAGCTAAAACATCCCAGTCAGAAGTCACCTGCAGAATTAGGACCTCACAAGCTATGCAAGTCACAAGCTAGGTCAAACATAGGCTGCGTCAGTTACAACCCCGGTCACACACATGCTAAAACAGTTACAACCGCGGCCACTCACATGCTAGGCCCGTTACAACCCTGGTCACTCACATGCTAGGCCCATTACAACCCTGGTCACTCACATGTTAGGTCGGTCACAACCCTGGTCACTGACCAGGCTAGCACAATATTGGCCAGGCAGTCAAGATTGAAGTCAGCTGAGGTCAGCTTTCTCATGGGATATTTCAGTTAAAAGCTCAATCAAGGGTAGCTCCCTCACAAGCTAGGTCAGTCAGAGCCGATGCTAAGTCAAGTCAAATGCTATGACCACCACACTTAACAGCAAGAAGTTGGGGGAGCCGCTGTCACAGGCTAGCTCGGCAACAGGCTAGGTAGGTCAGTCAAAGGGGGTTTGAGAGAATTCAGTACAGCATTAGAAATCGTTATGACTGGCTACAAGAAGCCAATATCACTTAATCTATCACACCATATGCTATACCTGTGCAACGAGACGAGTTACTCGCTCGGACTCGGCCGAGTTACTCGTTTGGGTGCGAGTAACAAGTTTTAATTTTTGTAAAATTTACTCGTCCGAGTCGAGCCGAGTTTTACTCGCATAATTTTTTTTGCTCGACGAGTACTCGGGCACTATATCGCCCGCCGATCCACGCAAAACGGCGATTTCGCCTGCCGATCTGCGCGGATCGGTCATTTCGATTGCCAATCCGCGCGGATTGGCGATTTCGCCCGCCGATCTGCACGGATCGGCGATTTTGCATGTCTGCCACATGTCGTGTCAATTGCTATGCTCAAAACAGGTTTTGCTTTGGTCGAGCAAAAGCTCTCCCGACTACTCTAATTTGCCAACGATTTTTCGTCTTGAGTTCCCAACCAATTCGCCACCACTTACCTTTGTTCACCGCACTGAATCTACAAAAAACCCAACCACCCGTTCCAATTTCAGATCCCGTCAGGAGACAACCCCCTTCCCTTCACCGCAAGTCTACTCCGATATTCCTTAATTAGCTAGCTGGACGCGTTCGTGGTGATTGTGAGGGCCCCTGATATTGCAGTTACAGGGCAGCGGGGCGAGCATTACTCGTACTCGGACGAGCTTCACTAAATGCTTGAATGAGTTTCCTTTGAAAGGGCGAGTACCGAGTTTCGGTTTATGGGAAAAAAACTCGGCCGAGTATTACTCGAGTCGGCTCGAAACTCGGCCGAGCAATGCTAGGGACGAGCCGAGCATTACTCGGCTCGCCACTTTGCACAGGTATACCATAAGCTATGTATGCCACATTGTTGGCCGGGTCACAAATAGGCTACATGATTGAGGCTAGGACAACCACAGGCCAGGTCAGTCACAGGCCAGGTCAGTAAGTCACAAGCGGATCCAACTACAGGCCAGGTCAGTCATTGGCTAGATTGGTCACTCTGTCTAGGTCACTCATAATCTTAATCTGTCAGACTAACTAGCTCAGACCTAAGATCAAGTTAGTCGTTCAAGTTAGGTCAAAACAGAGGTTAGGTCAGACATGCCTTAGAGAATAGGTCAGTCAGGGCAAGATCACCCACAGGCTGGGTCAGTCACGTTGATCACAGGCTAAGTGGTCACTGACCTTGGGTGAGCGATAGTGTGACTGCCTGAACAGAGCTTGCCTCACATACATACTATGTATGTCAAGTATCACACAGGCAAGCGCAAGGACACTGTCGGCCGGGCTACGTCCATACGAGGCTAGGACAGCCACACAGGACATCTCACTCACAGCTTAGGTAAGTCACAAGCTTGGTCAGTCAGTCACAGGCGAATTCGAACAGCAGATCTATCACGGGCTACGTCAAACCTTTGACAGCACCACGGTGGTTGACTTATTGGCTACATCACTCCTTTAAAGGAGGTGGCAATTCTAGAAATTACAGTCAAACTTACACCCTATCCTAGGTGGTCAGTCACAGGCAAGGTCATGCACACGGTAGGCGAGTCATAGTCTACGACAGCTACAAGCTAGGTAGGTCACAGGTTAGGTCAGTCAGGGGCTAGGTAGGCCACATGGTAAGTGACCATAGATAAAATAGGTAAGTTGGAGCCTCGGACAGTCAAGGGCTAGGTCAGACACAGGCTATGTCAGACACACAAGCTAGGTCGGTCAGAGGCCAGGTCACTAAGATAACCGATCAGTCACGAGCTTGGGCAGTCACAAGTTGAGGAAACCACGAGATATGTTCAAAATTCTAGTCCAACAGAGGCTAGGAGATGTGCAGTTCTGGTCAGTCAATAGCTAGGTTGGTCACACGCTAGGGCACTCATAGCCTCGATCACTGGGAGGCAAGCTAGCTCAGACCAGATTAGTCAAAAATACCAGAAACGCTGAGAGAACTGCGTAATGCCCTGGCGTGAATTGGTGCTTTGTCAAGATTCTTTGGAAAAACAGAAACACTAGCCAGATCGCCAACTTACTCCATCTAAACAGGTCAACCACCGCCAACCAACCACACCTCACCGCATTCTCCTAACCCATATCACCGTGCAAATCTACTCTATTGCACTCACTCACTGCAACCTTTTGGACACCTTAATACATAGTCTCTCCTTCCCTTATCCGCCAACCGGCCTGCTTTAGCCCTGCTGGCCAGTCCATAACGAATCAGTATCTTGGTACTTATTTTCATGATGAATGGGCCACAAGAGATCAGCAGCACAGGAAGGACACAGGCAACAATGCATCAAAAGTTACACATCAAGCAGTGATACATACACGAGCACCACCACGGCTCGTATGCTCGGATTCTTGAAATGCGGAAGGCCGAGACTGGGGAGTCAAGAGGGATGCGCATTCCTATCCTATGTATTGACCAGAGAGTCAAAATGCTTACCCCAGGTTGTCTTCAAGTGTCGATGTTTTCCACGCCTCATGCAGGGCTCAGCAGCAGCAGCGCGTAAGGGAAGTAGATCTGCAGTTCGTGGTGCCGATGGCGAGGCTCGGCGATTCTGAAAATGGAGCGAGGGAAGGGAGGCAACAGGATGAGCGGGACCGAGAAAGTAGTCAACGCAATTGACATTCACTACACCTTGTTCACAAACCGTAACGACTGCTCGTGACTACATTTAAGCGGCGAACCCAGAAGACTGAGGCGAGAGATTACTAAGGGTTACAGGCTAGCAGAGCTGCACAGCTCTAGCAATAACAAACGAGGCACAGAAACAACACAACGAAACAACAACGAGGCACAGAAACAACTTTATCAAGGATGTAGAGGCACAGATTGGAATGAGGAGCACAATAGACAGGGGTGTGCGATGGTGGGACTTGCAGCGACGCGAGGCCACACATACAGTACTTTCATGGCAATGTATTACCGTACTACATGAATACCCGGATTGGCGTCTCATTGCCCTAATAAGAGCACGGAGGAGTGGCGCTCATGCATGGATAAACGACTAAGCTTTCTATCTAACCTACATAAGCTCCGGAAACGTGGAATGGAGATGGTTTGAAGGCAAAGGGCGAGAGACACAGAGCTAAGGAGCATGAAAGGACTTGAAACCACTGGCGAAATGATGATGAGGGAAGTGCCAGTGTGCGAGCAGTGGAATGACGGGACCAGCCTTACATCGGAAGTTCAGAACGGTTTCTAGGGTTTCGCAGAGTGAAACGAAGTGCGGCCAGAAAAGGCAATGATGCCTACTAGGCGCAACGGGTTCCAGAGACGCCAAACGATCTGAGATGCGATTCTCACGCGACGGAGAAGATGGCTTTGAAACGAGAAGATAAGATAGAGTGCGGCCGTATGACTGGCACTAACAGCGACGCGGGTTTGAAGGCTGAATATGCGCCATCAGTAGAGTGATGCTGAATGGTTCTGCGCGTGACTCGTGCTGCGTTTCAAAATTGGAGTTGACGGGTACCAAAATTCAGGTCATTCAACGGTGTGTGCACGAAGTGCGGATAATCAGGTACGTACAAAGGTCGTCACGTAAACGAGATTACGCTTCCGGAGTGCGAATACAATTGCAAATCCGTAACGGGTGAGGAAGGAGAGACGGCACTGGCGTTGTACATCGCTCAAGGAACAAGCGCGGGGTGAAATGAGAACGTCACATGGACTTGCACATTAGGTCTGGACTCAACAAAGTTCCCGTAACTGCTCAGTTCGCGAGCAGATTCGGTGTTTTGCGAAGGCTGGGATGGTAACAGCTAAGAAGCAGAGATTGAACTCGACGGGCATTTCACATTGCAATACCTTAGTCACCAATTTCCTCCACACAATCTTCCCCGCTACTCGCTGGCACTACTAACTAGCTAAACGCTACGTCTGTTCGCCAACAGCTAGATCTGCGCAAGCAGCACGGGTCTTACCATGCACATTGGAGAGCGACCAAATTCGAGAAACAGTGGCCTTTTGCGCAAACGCGCTTCGGCTGTTCAACGTGATGAAGCCACGTTTAGGTCTATTTTCCGTTCAGATTTCGTCGCGAGATCCAACATGCAAGTTCAAGGCACTGCGATCGACAGGGTGAAGCGAGCTGAAGGCGGGGTAGAGTAGCGATTGTCCCCCAAAGCCTCATAACGC